TTTCATCCATCTTTTTCTGTGCGTTGGATATCACCCAGTCTCTATAAAGACCAGAAGAATTTGTCCTCTCTGTCATTATACAGCTAGGAAGGTAAATGATGATTTTTAGGAAGACTTCACAGCTTCCATTTTTTTGTATAAAAATAGTGAAAATCTCCAATGAAAGGTAACTAACTTAAAGTGTTTCTCCACCCCCTTTGCTCTTCAATAGACTGAATTTAAACTACAAAGTATCAGTATAATGTTAACACAGCCTGCAAGACATGAGTCAGTCAGGTACAGAATGAGTTAGAGGAATCACTGGGAGTTGTTTGCGAAAAGTCAATGTCTAAATGTAACCACACTTGATATTTCGCATCTTTTGTATTTTTAGTGTTTTCCACTAAGCAGATTCCAATGTTTCAAACTTCGTGTGTGTCGTTATTTTGAAATAAAAGGAATTCTGCAATTATTCTAGTGGCATAGCCTGCATTGCCATAACATAGCATGGAATTAGAGAAAGTGAAAAGCCCTCAACAGAAAGCATCTCTGAGACTAAATGAGGATATCTGTGAAACCAATTCAGATTTTAAACAGACTTTTGTTAAAAAATATTTGTGTTTTGTGCTTTCTTCAGCCTAGTCTAGTTCAGTGCAGAAATGTCAGTTCTGAGAAACACTCATGTTTCAATTCTATTAAGTCTGTCAAAAATAGAAATCTTTCATCTGAATTGAACTTTTTTCCCCTCTGCATTCAAATGAAACTTCTCAGCTGGGTGCATGCAGGCTTCAAACGCTTCTTCTGCAGAACCCAACTGTCAGAAAACATGAAAATCTGTGTGAAGCCTGCCAGTCTCTCGGCAGACGTGTATGGGGGGATAAATTTTGCAAACACTTGTTATACAGATTAGAGCTTTGGCAGAGATTGTAAGCGTCATCATTTCTGACAAATGAGGCTTTTTTTTAGTAAGTTGATAAAATGTTGATGTAACGTAATGGTGACTCATGGACCAGGTTATGAAGATGGCATGCAATGAAGGGAGCAAACCAGTGACAGGCTGATCTGGATTGCTAAGTCAGATGCAAACTAGCATTTTTACCATTGCAAAGTTGTTCATCTAAAAACCAAATAAGAACATAATGACAGTGCAGTGATGAGCCACAGGTATGACTAGAATCAAGAGAGAATAAATGTCTTCTGTCTCTTATCTCTATTTATCTCCAGGTATCTAAAGAGGAAGTAAAAATTTGACAAAAGGTTTTTAAATCTGAAGAGAGAATCAGAAGCACACAAAATGCCTGGAAGATGAAATTGCACAAATTCTGTCAGAACTATGGATAAGCTTTTTTTCTTTCTTTCTTTCTCTCTCTCTCTCTTTTTTTTTTTTTTTTTTTTTTTTTAATGGTAGGATAAATAATATAAGAGAGGAGAAACAAGTTCCTGAATGTTGGAATGAATATTTTTTACTTGGAAGATTCTGACAGAGATCAAATTGTTTTCATAAATCATAGAATCACACAATGGTTTGGGATGAAAGAGACCTTAAAGATCATTTAGTTCCAACTACCTTCTACAGGAAGGGACACCTTTCATTAGACCAGGTTGTTCAAAGTCCCACCCAAACTGGCCTTGAACACTGCCAGGGATTGAGCATTATGTCTTGTTCTGGCCTGTAGAAAGCAGTCCAGGTTAGTCTCGTAGACTGTGCTGCACAAAAAATTACAAGAAATGAGTGTGATGACCTTGTCCACACTGACAACTGATGAATCTTGAATGCACAAGAATCTTTATTCTGATCATACTTCTGAAAGAACTAAGTCTCTGGCCTCTTGGTAACCTACCTCCTTTGTCAGACGAAAACAGAGCTGTTTTTGCAATTGTCCTCAAGCCTTTGGCACCAGCAACTGCTACGGCATTCAGATTGAAGTGGTGCCCACCATTGCCACACGGCTGTTCAAGGCACAAGTCCAGCAGAAGTTTAGCCAAGTGATGAGACTTAACACAGAGGAAGACCAAACCTTGCTCCAAGACCTGAGCAATATCACTAAACTGGTAGTTGCTAGAGGGGGTAGGAAGGCACAGAAACAAGAACAGTTCCTTGAGAAGAAACTCTCTGCCTTTGGGTGTGCAAGGTCTCTCCATGCTCCTTCTGTTCTTACAGATGTCAATACTAAAATTATCATGCATGAGGGGAATCAGCCTGGCTGAGACAAAGCTGCAAAGTACTCTCCTGAAGGTGATCCTTGGTGCTTCAGACATTGTTTGAGGTAGTGGTGTGTGGGGAGAAGGCAAGAAGGGATGAGACTGAACTGTAACTCTTTGATCAGGGTACAACCCCTCCATAAAATATAAGTTAATGATCAGATTACTTAAAAAAATAGTTTTAAGCAAGCTGGATTTAATACTGAAGTACTGAAGTACTTTTACAACCAGCAAGAGCTTACACAAGCTGACACTGACAGGCAGAGGCTGGAGAGACCAGTTCTTAACTTGATGCCACTCTCACTGGTCTCTTCCGTTGCTCCTCCTCTACTGGAGACATTTTCCAGTTTTTGAAGACTTCTACATCTTATGTTTCTAGTGAGGTTCAGTATATAGCCTTATGTCATATAATCAGTCAGTCTTGTAAGACCCATATTAATTCTCATACCATGTGCCTCTTGCTAAATTCTGGCAAAAGGACTTGCTAGTTGTATTTCAGGTCAGTAGGTTATAGCTTTGCAAATGTCATTACAATAGGAAACCTCATTTCACCAGAAAGCAGCATTTCCTCTGTGAAACATACCCTGTGTCATGCTATACTCTGTATTCATCACGCAATGATATTTCAGTGGGATGCCTGCAGTCTTGGGGAGCTGATAATCTTCTATCAGAGCTGCCAGCAGCTTTTTCTTTTTTGAAGATTAATGAAAATGACATTTCCTGCACAATGTTACAACATGGGGATTTAACGATGACCACAAAATTCTGCAGAAACCTTCATTTCAGTGTTTCAGTTGCCTATTTGCAGAGAGAAATAGGTCTCTTGCTGTTCCCTTAATCAGAATGTCTGATGAAGATATCAGTTATCTGACTTCTGCTTATCTGTTCTTACTGCCTTCAGTTAAAGTTTCACTGTTGAGTTCCATAGAGTGACCATGGGGGTTCTTTCTCTCCAGGTGCAGCCCTGCTTCTGAGGCTGCTCACACCAACCCACATTTCCAACATATTGCCTTTAGGCCTGTGGCACTTTTAAAACTTTTAAACTTTAAATATGCATTTTAACTCATAACAGTGTGATAATGTCACTTTTTAGAGACACCTTTTCAAATTACAGCTTAACAACTCGGAGAAACAGATGAAGAGCTATTGCTAATCCCTTTTGACTTGCATGATTATGAGGTTGAAACGCAGTGTCTCAGAAATGAGAACAGAACTGGAAGGAACTTGCACCATCTCTGATGCAAGAGCTACAGTGTGCTAATGTACCTTGACTTTGAGAAAAAGTTCTTTCCTTGCAAACCTTATACTTCTTCTAATGCACTGGAATTAGTTGTCCACGTAACTCTGAAATCAGGATCAAACAGAAAATGTCAGTAATGCCAACAAGCAGCAAATCAATTTGATATATTGCTGTTATGTTTTTATTGATTATAATAAAGTATCCAGAGTCTTAGATGCATTGGGATAGCTAGAGAATAACCAGCTTTTCAAAGTGTGAACAGATTTTGATTACTGCAAGGATGAGTGCTTAGAACTATCGCCAAGAAACAATGCAAATATCTGAGGTGCATCACAGATATTTATTTCCCACTATGAAAAAAACCCAGCTTATAAAACTGTATAGGCATCTTCTCTTTTCCATAAAAACAGAGGACTGCTAAAAAACTTTTGTCCTCTCCCAAATTTGGCAGTATGTGCTACCAAAAAAAAAAAAAAAAAAAAGAAAATAAGCTGAAACACCACTCATACAAAGAGATTGAGGAACTACTTTCTGAAGTTAAAACATCAAATGAAAAATCACAAAAACTCAGTTGGGAGAAGACCCCCTCTTGTGTTGTGAGATTCACTGGTGAAATGGATGACATACCAGAGTCAGTTTTAAATTACAGTTCAGGTGTCAGTAGCAGTATGACTGGGATAGTACAGAGCCCATCACCGTTCAGTTTTCCCTGCTTTTTTTCTCTGTCTGTAGTGCACATCCTCTGGACATTTACATACATGCAAATATGCTTCAGGATAACACCCTACCTGAATTCTTCACGCCCCCATATGATCTTGTAGTACTTAAAAATCCTACCAGAAGCTGCATTTAGAATTATAAGGACGATATGTAATCTCTCTTTGAAAGAGTAATATATTAAAACGTAGCATAGTTATTAAACTTGCTATTAACTTGTATCTAGCTTCTGCTCAGGCCAGGCAAGCTGATTTACACTTACCTAGGGTGTCCTTTCCCAGTGTTTTCCAGCAGCCCATTTCATAACACCAGGAATGGCCCTGAACACCAGGACAGCACTGTCCCTGCTACTTGGTTTGGCAGGATCTGAGCAGAATCTCCATGGAGTCTGGGTATCCATGGTGTTTAATCCCTTACTCAGATAAACTGTCCACAGAGAAGGAGTGTGTGCAAAACTTAGCTCTTGGTGACAAACAAAATTTGTAGCTTTGATTGAGCAACATATGGTTGTTATCTGGCTCTGCGATGGACAGATTTGTGTTGCAAATAAACAAATTGATGAAAGAGTAGCAGAATTCAAACAAGATCTGTGATCTTCACTGTTAAAGCATGCAGATGCTCAGAACAGAGGAGAACTAACAGCAGCAGAAACCCGACACAACCATGTAATTTCTCTAAGGATCTTTTCTTCCCACATATTATTGACTCATGCTTGTTTTTAATGGTACGGCTAGTAATGCCCTGAGGTCTAAGCAGCTTCTCTGCCCAACTTTCTCTTCCATTTTCCTCTAGGCTGAAGAATGTTTGGATAAAACTACTGGTTACAGCTACTAGCTACTGTACTGTTACAGTGCTGGTGCCATGTATGAGATTTCAGGATTATTCCTTGGGCAAGAGCCAGGTGGAAAGTGCTGGTAGCTTTTTGGGTAGGCCCTCTCATTCTACCTTTATCTTAATCTTTCTGTATTATTTCATTTCTAGAATATGTACAAGGAAGATTTCAGGAACATGACTGAAGAGACTGGGAACAGCAGTGACTCCTCCTCAGCCTTCATTCACACCAGCACCATGAGTACCATACTGATTACTGTCTACTCAGTTGCCTTTGCTGGAGGTGGAATTGGGTCCATCACAATGTCATTTGTGCTGGTAAAGATGAACACTCTGTCTGTGACCACCACTGCCATCATTAACCTGGTCGTTGTGCACAGCCTCCTCCTCATCACCATGCCCTTCCGCATCCACTATTACATCAACAAGAAGTGGGTATTCAACATGTCATTTTGCAAAATCGTGAGTGCAATGGTGCACATCCACATGTACCTGACCTTCCTATTTTATGTGATCACGCTGGTGATCCGGTGGCTCATCTTCTTTCAGTGGAAGGACAAAGTGGAGTTTTACAGGAAGCTGCACGCAGTTGCGGCCAGCGCTGCCATGTGGGTCTTTGTCATCGTCTTCGTGGTGCCCGTTTTTCACTTTCGCTATGGACGCTCAGGCTCATACAATGAGACAACGTGCTTCAAGTTCCACAAAGAACTACAACGGGAGAGCGTGAAAGCCTTAAACTACATCCTAATTGTAGCTGTCGCCTGCATTTCTTGTGTCCTCTTGGGCCTGCAGATTTTTATCCTGGTAAAAATGGCAAGAAAACTTTCCACCTCTCTCTGGTCACACCAAGAGTTCTGGGCCCAGGTGAAAAACTTGATTTTCATCTGGGTCATCATAATTTGCTTCCTTCCCTATCACTTCTTTAGGGCCTACTACATACAGCACTTCAGGGATTTTGGCCAATTAGAGAGCTACAATGAGGTTTTTCTGAGCCTGACTGCCCTGAGCTGTCTGGACCTGCTGTCATTCGTGCTGAGTGGAAGCCGCTTATTGAAGCAAAAGGTGGTGATGCTCAGCAGCAGGTTGCATTGCTGCTAGTGTCAGCCTCCTGCAGCATGTGTGGACCTGGACCTGGGAAAGGACGGTGATGGACAGGCATGACAAACCCTCTACTCAGCAAGTGGGCCCTGGAAACAGTGCAACACACTCTCACAGGGCTCTGCACAGCGGCTCCCTGAAGTAATGTGCCAAACTGCCTCCAGTGTCTCAGCTGGCACTGGAAGGTGACCTCAGGGATTTCCTCATGGTGCTACACAGTGAGCTGTGAATGGATCAGAGAAGAGTGAAGAAAGATCATGGACTCTTCTGTCTTTTTTTTATTTTTACATTAAGGTTTGTGAAGTCAAAGGCACTAGGAGGAGATTTGAGATTTTGCAGTGTAGAAACACAAATAGAAAAGCAGTTTTTTATGGACTAAGGTACAAGTTTTGAAAGGTACTTAAAGACTTATATAATTTTACCACACGTTTCTTATTTATTCCCCACAGGCTCTCATAAAATATCAGTAAAACTATAGTTTCTCCTGTTCCTTCACTGTAAAGACAAACCTAACTTTCTAAGTAAATTGAACAATTAAACAAACTATTTAAAACCAAACCAGCAATAAATAGTTATTTCTTAAAATACTTTTTTCAAAATCACCTTTTGGAGATGCTATCACTGAAGCAGAAAAGAGTTTTTGTTGTCTAACAAAAATTACACATTGCTACTGAAATGAACATTGCAAGTTCAAACAAAAGCCTTATTATTATGTATTATTCTTTACAGAACTATTCAATTAAAAATATTTTACAGTGAGGATCATTTTATTTAGATCATTCAGACACAGTTGTCTTGTCGTAAAATGTCAAATATTTTAGGTATCCAAGGTAGCAATGTTTTTTTAAAAATCTTATGTTGATTGTGTGCAATTCTTAAGTTCATAACTAATTACCCACAGTATCTTTATCTTGAAATAAACTTTATAAATTTTGTACTCTACTGGGAGAGGAATGAAAATGTTATTGCTTGGATTGGAGGGATGGAAAAAGCTAATAGACTTAGTGTAGCTAAAAAGCTTATTATTTCTCAGTGAGACATAGTCAGTTGCTGTCTCTGAAGACAGAACTGAATTCCACTAGAAAAGATGAAAAAATTAGCAAAATAATTCTGTGAAAGACATTCAGGCTTTTGTAGCTCAACTACTTTCCACCTATCCCCCCCCAAAAAAAATATAAATCTCTGACTTGTATAATCCAAGGCATCAGTTGCTAATATATCTTTCTCTTCTTTGCCATCTGCATAAGGTCATGTTTTTTCATCTAGAGTCAGTGGGATAATAACTTAATCATTTGTCAAATTAGAGGTTATCAGCTGATCAATTTCCATTCTCTCCTCATGATGCTGTTGAAGTCCACCTTTTCATACTTTTGAATCTTTCCATTCTCTTCTGCTTCACCTTCAACATCTCTTGCACATGAGAAAGCAGTCAAACAACAATTGGTTGATCTTGCTGTACCTATGCGATATCACAGTTAAGTCATTGTTTTTGGTCCCACCAAGATGGTTATTTTATAGGATCCCATCTCTTCTGTAGTCTTTCTTCCCTGTTTTCCTTCTTGATTCAAGCTCCTGTATATCTCTCAGGATGTTTGATCATAAAAAGGTATTTTCAGGTCAGAGTATGAGTCATGCTACACAACACCAAGAGTTGGAAATCACTGAAGTTCATACCACAGCTGAGATGTGGGGCTTCTCTCATGGCTCACACTTGGCAAACAGCCTGGATCAAAACATCTGCTAAGAAAGAAATTGCAGTGTATGTGGATCTGGGAAAAATCTGTCTGAGAAGGCATTTGCTTCCAAGGAGTCATGGCAAAGAGGAAGACAACTACCAGCCAGATTCAACAGTAATTGGGAAACTACAAGAGACTTTCACAATATGGAAGGAAACAACTTCAATGTGTAGTTCACTACTAGTTAATGGTGTGTCATTAAGAAAGCAACAAACTGCTCATATTCATATCTATTTTAAAGTTACACAAACACATCCTTTTCTCCTTGAGGCAGGAGAGGATGAAACATGGCACAACATTTTTTTTCTTCCTATAGCAACATGGTGCTTAAAGAAAGTGCCTTGCATGTGTTCTGTAAGCACTGCATAGCTTTGTAACACTATATTATAACCCTTCTGTCATAATAAAGTTGTTAACAAACAAAATGACTATGTGCTGAAAAAGTAAAGCAAGTCCTTCCTGTAAAAATACATGTAAATTAAAAGTATTTTGTATCTGAATTGGAAAAGATTTTCAAAAAATGAAACATATGTCTACAAACAGTACCTCCTGACCATACAGCCAATAAAAAGTTGCTTAATTCTTGTAAAAATGCACACATTGTCAATAATCTGCACCATAACATCACAAAAAATACTAGTGCCGTTTTTTTTCCCAAATAAAAAATGATGCTCATTATGTTAATCCTAACTCAGCATGATAGTGAGCAGATTAGTGGTCATAATTTCATGATTTAAGTGGTGATATTATCCAGCATCAAGTTATGCTTTATATGGGACTGTCTATGCAACCTTTACCTCTACCACTTGCCTTGCTTTGTGACATTAGTGTCGGGCAGAGAAAGCCGCATCCACCCTTGGAGAATGAAATCTCTGTTAACTCTGGCAGGAATTGACCTTCCAGGTGGTGACAGAGGTGATGCTTCCAGCAAGAGTGCTGACAGGACTTGAAAGGAGGACAAGTTGCTGCTCCCTCCAGCCTCTCCCTGCTTCGCCTTTCACCAGTTTCTTGATCTCTCCCACCCTCCCAGGCACCATCCCGGAATGTTTACCCTGGGATGTCTGAAGAGAGGTGGAGGTGCCGCCATGCAGTGCCACAGAGGAGAAGAGTCTGAATAACTCCTGAAAATGAAAGTGTAGTCAAAGCCAGAGCAGCACCCAAAACATAGCTAAATGGCTCTTGTGACCAGGGATAGCAGAGGCAGTGATGGGAAACTGTTGAGATGAAAGGAGAAAATCTATAGAAGAAGAGAAATTTCCATTACCATCACCTGCTTGGTCAGAGGCACCTCAGTCCTGAAAAAGACCCTCATTTTTCTGACTGGGTCATGGAGAATAGTTCTGGGCTAGAAAACAACCACATTAGAACACAAAAGCTATATTACAGAAGGACTCAGAGGGGATAGAACCTGGAGAATGCGACAGGAGATGAGGACAGGTGAGCAAAATATTAGCATGTTTATGCCACAGAGCAGCAAGGTTATATGGACTGAGCCTCTGGCCTTCAATCTTACTTTGCTTATTGAATCCTTAGAGTTGCCAAAAAGTGTCAGTCTCACTGATAGGAGTAAACTTGCCCTCAGGCACCCCTTGTTGCCACCCTTGCAGTGCTCTTTCTATAGGGTTAGTATTCGTCTAATGAATGTCTTTCAGCTGCACCAGTTCCCTCTCTAGCTCACCAGGGAGTGATGGAAAATCAACTCAAGGCAAGGTTAAATACAGCAAGACTTCTTTTTGCAGCAATGCTGGTTTGAGGCATTTATCGGACTGTAATCTGACTTGTCAAATTCCCCTGGGGATCCAGATCTTTTCTTACCATGCAGTTTTCCACAGTTCTGTGTCACCTGACATTTCCAATTCCAAGTATTACCAAGAATCAGGGTGCCTTAGACTACAGGTACCAGCTGAGGAAGAAAAAAACTACACAGCTACAGGCCAAGAAAGGGGTTTCTGTTGTTTCAGGCACTTGATGCTTTCTCCAGGGATGCAGAGATGGGCATGACAACCCCTGAAGGCAGCAGAGGCAGCAGTTCCTGAACAGAAACCTCCTGAACAGTGTTGTAGGATTGGACATTTGTGACCCATAAAGTCACTCATTTCTGCTGCTCTCAAGAGAAATAAGACTTTGTGTGCATTTTCCCTATAAGTAAGCCCTATGGCTAGGACTTGATTGGAAGCAAGGGCTGGTTTCAGAAGTCAAGGGGTCATTAACAAAACACCAGCTGGACTTCCCAGAGAGAAATTTCAGAAAATCAAACTAAACTTTCTGGTACTCAGTGAGGTAATTTTCCCCACTTGCAAACAGCTGCTTACTAAACCAGATTTTTGCTGGATAGAGAAAAACCAATAAAGGTAATATACGGTGTCCATTCCCTGAAGGCCAGCTCTAAGTAATATATAGTCCTCTTTTTTTCCTGTGAGGCAGCAGACAGGCCAGTTGGCTGCTTTCACCCTCAACCAGTAACTTCCCTCACTCCCAGAAATGCTTTCCAGTTTGGAAGTGTCTGGCTGATTTTTCTCATTAGTCCTGTGTCCTAGTTCATCACTATGTGGGTGTAACCCAAACTGTGTATTCTACACCCTCTATGTCATTTTCCAGGAACTGTTAACAATAGACCATTTGGAGCAGCTGCCCAGAGCACACCTGAGCCCTCAGGCTATAAGCTGGGTGCTAAAAGGCCTGTGAGATAGGAGGATGTTCCTGTCCTCACACCAATGACTCAGGTGTGATAACTCCCCTCTGGGGAGTCATTAGCACCTCCACACCCAGCCTGAGGGGTCATGTCTGTTAATGGGCCATCAAGGATTCAAAAAATATCTCACCACTCACAATCACCCATTGTGGAACTCTCCACCCTGGGGGAGGTGCTGGGCATTCCTGCCTGAACCTGAGTGTATGTAGTCTTGGGGTTTTGGGACTTCTGGTACCACTTCTTGGATCCAGAGGAGGACCAGAACCTTGACCGGACTGCGACCATCACTCTCACCAACAGGTTTTCCTTTCCTTTTACTTTGGACTCAGAGGTACCACATGGGGCTTAGCATGGGGGCCAACAAACACCATTCTGTTCATGCCCCAGGGTGCTGGGTTATACATTTAGGTTTTGTGGGTTAAAACCAATTGTTTGTTTGTATAATTGTATTTATTGTATTATTTTTATTAAATTTTAACTCTGATTTATAATCTCTTTTGAGTTGGGTTAATTTCTCCTACCGGTTTACCTTTAATCCAGCACACCCTGGTAGCTGTGCCCTCAATGAATTGTGTGCCACCCATGTGCAACTGGGGCTCAAAATCACAGAATAGCAGAATGGGTAAGTTTGAAAAAGACCATGGTCATCCTAGAGCACATTGCACAGGATTGTGTCCAGAAGGTTCTTGAATATCTCCAGTGACCAAGACTCCACAACCTCTCTGGGCAATCTGTTGCAGTGCTCGCTCATCTGCACAAGAAAGTTCTTGCTCATATTCAGGTGGAACTTCCTGTGCATCAGTTTCTTCCTCATATCTCTTGTCTATTGCTTGGCACCACCAAGAAGAGTTTGGCTCCATCCTCTTGTTACCCTGCTTTCAGATACTTATAGACATTGATGAGAGCCCCACTCAGTTGTCTCTTCTTGGAGTTGAACAGGCTCAAGTCTCTCAGCCTTTCTTATAAAAGAGATGCTGAGATGGTCCAGTGGAGGACTAGAGGTGCTCATCTTCACAGCCCTTTGCTGGACCTGCTCCAGGAGCTCCATGTCTCTCTTGTACTGAGGAGCCCAGAACTGGACACAACATTCCAGATGTGGCCTCACTAGGGCTGAGTAGAGGTGCAGGTT